GTTTCTTCTGGGTTCTGTTTCCTTAGGCACCTCAACTGAGTAACATATGGTTCCCAGCTCACTGTCAAAGGTGACAGACTCTATCCCCTCCCCAATTTGAGGATATCTTTCCAATCTTCCTTGCCCTTTTTCTTCCTCTAAAACAGCCTGCTTTCTCCCTTCCTGGCTTTTATCAAATGAGCTGAGGTGTTTATGAAACTGTAAGGTAGATAGCCTTGATTTTCTGTTTTTAGTTCTATAAAAAAATGCCTGAGATTAAGAATTACTAAGGATGAAAAGTCCTGTATGCTTACATAGGAGCAGTAAAAAGGGGGAAATACAAAAAGACTACACAAATCAATCTTAACCTGACATACTTCATAATCATACTTTATAATTTTTAAAGTAGTGTATGCTGTACATTAAAACAGTGGAACACTATAGAGCAATGAGAATGGATGATCTAAAACCACATGCAGTAGTATAAGTAAATCTCACAAACATGATGCTGAATGAAAGAAGCAAGACACAAAATAATGCATACTACATGGTTACACTTATAGAAGGTACCCAAACACCAACACTATTCTGTTCTGTCAGGACAGTGGGAACTAGTGCCTGAAAAGGAGCACAGCAGACCTTCCACGGTGCTTTTCTGTTTCTTAATCTGGGTGTTAATCCCATGGGTGTAAAAATTCCTCAAGCTGTGCACTTAAGCATTGAACAGTTTTCTCTAAGTATCTTATGTGTCAATAAAAAAGTTAAAAGTTAAAAAACACTGTTTTAAAGGGGCAATTTTCTTTAACTGCTTTGAAAAAAGTTAACAGATCTAAAGAAAACTCACCTGTTTTTCATCATAGATTTTTGTTTGTTTTGTTTTATTTTTTATTTTATTTTATATTTTTCTATCACCATTTATCCCCCTATACCCTCTTCTACCTTCACCCATTCCACCCGAACCCCCCTCCTCAATTACCACATTGTTGTCCATGTCCATGAGTTTGTTCTTTGTGTCTGTGCGTGTGTGTGCGCTAAATCCCTCCACACCCCTCAACACCCTCAGCATAGATTTTTATTTTTTTGCTTAATGAATTCAATATTAGACATAAACAAACTTCAAAAATCTGCTGTTTAGGAAAGGAGAGTAAATCAAAAGGTTTTAAGAAATTGTGGAAGATGCAAATTGCATGGTCGCTGGTAAAAGATGCAGTATAATACCAGATGGCCAGTCCTGGGAGATGGCCATGGAGGAAACCGCTAAGCACCAAACTTAGAGACAAATGACAAATATTTGATAGGAGTATTTTTCTGTAACTAGAAAATAATTAGGGTTTTCTCAGTTCTTTAAGACATTTAGAAATAAGATTTTAAAAGCTAGTGAATAACAAGATCATACAGAAATAAACTTTAAATTGTTTTTAACTTTAGGAATTAAAATTAGCAATGACCTCAGAAAAAAATTGTTAATCAATACTAATTTAGTTGTAAATGAGCTGATGTTACTCAGAAGATTACAGTAATTAAGATTAAGTTTTCTGTGCACACACGAGGAGGGTTGAGCTGCACCTTTGCCTTGAGTGTGGAGTCAGGACTGGAGCTGCCACTGCAACACCAAGGATTGTCTCACTAGCCCTGACCCTCTGCCACAAGGGACAGCACCATCTGCTCCTTCTTGACCATTAGTCCACCTCCATCTCCTGCCCTTCCTTCACCTGTCCCCACCCCGCATTGTGAATCCAGGCAGTGGTGGCACTGCAGCATTCTGAATGGCAGCAACAATAGCAGCTGGGTGCTGACTGCTGGGACCGGGTGGACATGGAAGCCCCATGGCCCCCTTGGCAGTGAAGGCCCACTGTAAACACCTCTGGTGGGGCCTTCCACGTCAACACCAAACCCTTCATGCCCAACGTCCACCCCACTGAGTTTGTGCCAGTGCCATCCTTCCAGCAGGCAGGCCCAGGAGCCACCACTCCAAGCTGGTGCCTCTACCAACAACCATGGAGCAGGCAGCCACAGAAGGCCCCTTAGCACCTGTGGAACCATCTCAGGAAGAACAGTCATTGTGTGAAGGTTCAAATTCAGCTGTTTGCATGGAACTTTCAGAACCTGCTTTGAAAAATGGAGAGACAGGAATGTCCCCAGAAGAACCATGGGAACACAAAGAAATAAGTGAAGCAGAGCCAGGAGGTGGTTCCTTGGGAGATGGAAGACCCCCAGAAGAAAATGCCCAAGAAATGATGGAGAAAGAGGAAATACCAAAACCTAAGTCTGTTGTTGCACCACCAGCTGCTTCTAAAAAAGAACATGTAGATGTAGTATTCACTGGGCACATAGATGCTGGCAAGTCAACCTTGGAGGCCAAGTAATGTATTTAACTGGAATGGTTGATGAAAGGACACTTGAAAAATATGAAAGAGAAGCTAAAGAAAAAAACAGAGAAACTTGGTACTTGTTGTGAGCCTTACACACAACTCAGGGAGAATGAGACAAGGGTAAAACCGTAGACGTGGGTCATGCCTATTTTGAAACAGATAAAAAGCATTTCACAATTCTAGATGCCCCAGGCCACAAGAGTTTTTCCCCAAATATGATTGGTGGTTGCTTCTCAAGCTGATTTGGCTGTACTGGTAATCTCTGCTGGGAAAGGAGAATTTGAAACTGGATTTGAAAAAGGAGGACAGACAAGAAAACATGAAATGTTGGCAAAAACAGCAGGTGTAAAACATTTTATTGTGCTTATTAATAAGATGGGTGATCCAGCAGTGAATTGGAGCAATGAGAGATATGAAACCATAAAAAAGAACCAGTCAGAAATGAAGGATACACTATGAAATGAAGAATAAGTTACAGGGAATCAACAGTAGAGTAGATGAAACAGAGGATCAAATCAGCAAGTTAGAAGAGAAGGAAGAGAAAAACACCCAATCAGAACAACACAAAGAACAAAGAATCCCCCAAAAATGAGGATAGTTATGGAGCCTCTGAGTCAACTTCAAGTGTACCAACATCCTCATCATAGGGGTAACAGAAGGAGAAGAAAGAGAGCAAGGAATTGGAAACCTATTTGGAAAAATAATGATGGAAAACTTCCCTAACCTGATGAAGAAAATAGACTTACAAGTCCAGGAAGCACAGAGAGTCCCAAACAAGATGAACCCAAAGAGACACACATTATAATTAAAATGCCAAAAATTAGAGAGAATCTTAAAAGCAGCAAGAAAAAAGCAACTAGTTACCTGCAAGGGAGCTCCCATAAGACTGTCAACTGATTTTTCAACAAAAATATTTCAAGCCAGAAGGTTATTGGCATGAAATATTCGAAGTGATGAAAAGCAAGGACCTACAACCAAGATTACTCTACCCAGCAAAGCTGTTATTTAGAATTGAAGGACAGATAAAGAGCTTCCCAGACAAGAAAAAGCTAAAGAAGTTCATCACCACTAAACCAGTATTACAAGAAATGTTAAAGGGTGAAGAAGAAGAGGGGGAAGAAGAGGTAGAGGAGGAGCTCAAAAATATGAATAATAAAATGGCAATAATTACATATCTATCAACAATTCTCTTAAATGCGAATGGGTCAAATGCTCCAATCAGAAGATATACGGTAGCTGAATGGATTAAAAAAACAAGACCCTATGATATACCCGGTCACTTCAGATCAAAAGATACACACAGACTGACTGTAAAGGAATGTAGAAAGATATTTCATGAAAATGGAAATTAAAAAAAAAAAAAACCCAAGTAGTAATACTAATACCAGACAAAATACATACAAGAGACAAAGAAGGACCAGCAATTTCACTTTGGGGTATTTATCTGAAGAAACCCAAAATACTAAATCTAAAAAGCATATACATTTATATGTTCATTGCAGCATTATTTACAGTAGCCAAAATATGGAAGCAACCTAAGTGTTCATCAATAGATAAATAGATAAAGAAGAGATGCAGATATACAGTGGAATATGACTTAGCCATAAAAAAGAATGAAATCTGCAGCAACATAGATAGACCTAGAAGGTATTATCTGAAGGAAATAAGTTAAACAAAAGAAAAAATGCCATATGATTTCACTTATATGTGAATCTAAAACACAAAATAAATTAACAAGCAGAACAGAAACAGACTCATTGATACAAAGAGTATTTTGACGGTTGCCAAAGGGGAGAGGCTTAGGAGGATGGTTGAAAAAGGTGAAGGGATTAAGAGGTACAAATTGGTAGTTACAGAATAGTCATGTAAGTATAGCATAGGGAATATAGTCAGTAATTTTATACTAACTATGGTGTCAGATGGGTACTAGATTTACTAAGGCGATCACTTCATAAGTTATATAAATATCTAATCACTGGGCTATAGACCTGAAACTAATATAATATTGTACATCGACTGTAATTGAAAAATAAAAAATATTTAAAGAAAAAAAATAAATAGAAGAATAAGTTTTTGATGTACAAATTTACTAAATTACAATTCTGCTATATGTATGAAGGAATAAATGTTTCTTTTCCTGACGACAAACTGGTTTCTTGGCCGTTAGTATGCCAAATTTCTCTTTAATCTCTTTAATCTCAAGTTAAGCATACTTTCTCTTTGTATGGCACTTACAGCTACAAAAACCCTCTGAAATAATTAGCCCCATTTTACAGATGTGGAAACTGAAGCTTAGACATGTTAAGTGATTTGACCGTCATCATATAGTTTGCATATATCCTTGAAATCAGGTGTTTGGATTCTAAATCAAGTACTCTTTCCACTGTAGAAGCACCACTTGTAGAAGAGTCATAAAGTAAGAAAATGGGTCTCTCTTGGATCCAAGAGGTTTTAATAAAACTGGATTTGACTGTATAGTTTTTCCTAATAGGGAGTTTCACTTCAGGGTTCTCCAGGACACAGTTATGTGAAGGTGGCAGTCTTGTGCAGCTATGTCAGCAAAAACAGGCTGTTAATAGTTCATTGACTTAAATATGTCAGCATAAGTACTTTATGTGGTTTAATTTTTCTCTCCCATTTTATTTGCAGTTCCCCAGAACTGAAGGACAAATGGCTCTCTCTCCTTCAGAGGTATTTTTTCAGTATACATATTTTTAATCTTTAATGTAGTTAAATGAATTAAATTCATCTCTGCAAAGATCCCAAACTGTTCCCCTTCTCCTTAATAGAAATTGTTCATTTGTCCTCAAAATAAAGCTGTTATTTAGACTGTACACTAGCTACTCCATACTATAAATAATGTTTTCTCATTACATGTGTTTACTTTCTAGGGAGGAAAACATTGAGATCTGGTTACATTATTTTAGACAAAAATTAGTAATGTTTTCCATCTCTTTTCCTGTCTCTATTTGGAGCTAATAGTTTCCTCAGAGCATGTATTAAGTTTTCATATATGGGGGGGTTTCCTGCTGAAAGATCAATCATTATTTCCATCTTTGAGCATACAGATGAAAATGGTCAGTTTAGGCTCATGTCTTATTCCCATAGCTCTTCCCTGCATTCTTTCCTCCCCCCCCCCCCC